TTTATTTTTATTCTTACGTTGATTTTAAAGTACATTATTTACATACAAAAATTTCCCCACTCTTTTAATTTTACTTTCATAATATCGTGATATGATTCATTTAAATATCTTTGTCGTCATTTACTTATGATTCAAAACCAAAATTTTTAAGAATTTCGATAGGAAGGAAACAAATTTTCAAAAGCGATCGATCTTTAATTTTTATTCTTTATATATTATATCGTAACATTTCGTTTTTATTTTAATTATGCCATTAGTAAGAATCAAAGAATTAAGAAAAAAACGCCCACTATATGAAACTAAATTATGAAAAGAAAAAAAGAGAGTTCATTTAATTTTAAAATTTATTTATGTATATATATTTTTTTTAATAATAAAGATGTTACAATGAATATTTTCCTCTATGAATACAAAAAAGAAAGTCACTGTTTTTAAATTTCCTGATACAATGTTCCAAAGTTAATTATTAAAAGACACGAATGATTGGAGTTTTTGATCCTTCTTTCCATAATCACATGAATTGCGTAATACGGAAAAAAAAAAAAAAAAAAATGGTGTCCAGAGCTATTATTTTGATCTCGCATTTACTGGTTTCACCAAAGATCTCTCTCAAAAACGATTTAGTAAACATAACCTGTCTCACCTGATTTAACTTTATGATTCATTTAACGTCAGATTATTTTTGACTTTTTATCGAACCGATCCAATGAAAAAACTGATTTTATTATTGAGAGTGAGTTTAATTTTTCGGAATTTACAAAAAAAGCAATTAAAAATACAAAATGTTCGGACCGTGTGATTTTGGTCAGATCAGTCATTTATAATATATTATGACATGAATTATGTCTGATAAAGTAAAGTTTAGGCATGTAAACCATTTTGGTTTGATTCTGTGTTTGACCTTGTCCGAGAATAATTTTGGTCAGATTCCGTTTTTTGACGCTTGTGATTGGTCATAATGATATATAGTAAGGTGAAATAACAAAGAATGCGTGTTCAATTTAAAATTTCAATTTTTCCTTTTGAAGACGCGTTGTACCATTCTTGCTTCCTTTAACCATATGGGTTTTTTTCTTTGATTATCAGTACTAAATCGAGAGATTAACTTCCTTATAAGTAGTAATGGCAGGTATGAATTTTTTTTCTAAGGGTATGTGGTCTTGATCGTTATCGTGCAGCCAGCCTCATTTGTTCAATTGAAATCATGAGATTACTTTTTTTTTTTTTTTTTTTTAAAAAAAAAAAAATGTTTCTACAAGTAAAACGCTAAACACACTTTAGGAAAACGACAAAAATAATAACGTTTCTGAGACCTTTACGAGATTAGGAGTTACCAATACTTTTAGTTTCTAAAGTAAAAAGAAAGGAAGGAATGCGGTATATATAAACGAGGGGGTTTTTTTTTTATTTATTGAATGATAATCATCGCTAAAGTCATTAAAATAAAATAAAAATGATTTTGGTATTGCGCATGATGAATTTCCGCACACGTAATAAAAGTTTGTGCGCAGAATCCGCACATAACATGTATTACATATCCATTACAAATGTTGCACTCATTCTCATCCATCGTAGTGTTTGGACACGTTTCCGCACACAATATTCAAACGTAAACTGTTGCAACGGGAAACGGTTATATCAAAACCCCCCGTTGGAAGTTATTCCAATAAATTTATCAATAAATCTATGGGACCTTTGTAATGAGAAAGGAAATCGATATGTAAAAATATTTTTATCAGGACTGAAAGGTAACATAACATAATTTCAACTTTTTTTGTCAAAGGTTTCATACCCACAAAACAGAATGATTTCATTAGGAATTCCAACCATATGATCCATATAGTCAAGGTCATTCATTGGTTTAAGTTCAAGTATAAGTAAGGAATTCGTGCCGTCATAGCAGTAATGCTCCGTACCGAAAATCATCCTAATTGCGTATTTGCCACATTTCGATGTCATTTATGGTGTAAATTATATATTCGGGGGCCAGGATACCCGATCCTCTTTCGGATTATGTAATGGTTACGTAATAACGCTCGGCCAACCAATTTCAAAATTAAAATTCGATTTTGACATTCGAATATCGAATATCAAATTGAATATCATGTCCTTTTTTTCTTTTATATAATTTATATCACATAAATACATTATTTAATTAAATAAATATATATATATATATATTTTTATCCCCTTTTTGCGGTCTTAATTTAGATATAAAAAAAATGAAAATTAATTTCGATTTGTACTAGAACACCAATTTGTCAAATCTAAAGATTTACATAAAGTCTTATACATGATTTTAACATTTTGTGTTATGACCTGCTTTTATTGTTTGTTTTAATATTAAATTTTACCGATAACAATTTATGGATGATGTTTTGCCCGCTCCGGGATCGACATGTGATATAAGCATGTCCGCTATGCATATCTCCGAAACATCATCTTGTTGAACTACTTCGCGAGACGAAATTTAAATCTCCGTAAGGGAATAAATACATTTCTTAAAAGAAAATGCCCCCCCCAAAATTTTCCCTTTGAAAAGATATAGATTTTGGGGTTTTTTTCTCCCGACTCAATCCTATTTGACAATGAGCTTTATATATGTACGAATACATAATTCTAATACATACTTGATAAATCTTTGATTCATGGGGCGCCCAATTTGAATACATCTATCGGGGTGGACCAATCAGGTGGAATTCAGCAACCGACTGGTCAAACAACAAAATCAAATTTCGGACAAAAGTTTGAGGTTTAAAGGATAATAGAAAGTTTTTTTTTTTTTTTTTGTACGTAGATTTTTCTATTATGAAATTGATTATTTTCAAAAAAGGTTCGGTCGGTATCGTCATTTGCATTGGTTAAACCCTGTAACAATAAATTTACCTACATCATCTCATCAATTTTACGGTGTCTAATAAAATTTTGGAAATAATGCAATTCAAATGAATTTGATTTTATTTTTAAAAAGATTGGAGATTGGTAATGCAAAAAATAAACATTCGTATATTGGGGATGCGTTCAATCCTGATTGCTCTACAATCGTCACACAATTGAAGTGCATTCTCCTTTATTTCCGATAATAGGAATTTCATATGGATATATGAGGTGATCATCTTTACAAATATGTTTGACATCTCCACTTATATTGCATCTTTTATACAGCGAATATTCAATATTGAATGCTCCCGATAACCAATAATCGCAATTTAATGACGCACTGTCACCGAAAAAGATCTCCGATTTCATGTCACAAGGTGCATGAAATCAAATAGTTTAGAGGACCATGTGTTGAACATCTCGCGTCCACGAGTAAATATAAATATGATGAGGTTATCTTTTTAATTTGAAGAAGAAACAACAAAAAAAAAAAAATCTATTATCTTTTTAAGAATGTCATCTGGTAAAAGCGCTTTGGTTTTGAGTACAACAGGTATGCCAAAAAAAAAAGCACGAGAGAAATGTTATCAAAGTTTGTTAAATCTTTATAATGTATTAAAAATTTTTAGGTGCGGTTGGTAAATCTCTTTTGAGAGACTTGTTAAAAAGTGGGGCTTTCAGAACCGTGACTACGATTGAGAGCAAAATGTTTGAGTATAATGGGCCTAACAAAGAAGCTCTTGTATGTAAAAAAAAAAAAAAAAAAAATCTATTCTTTAGAAAAAAAAAAAAAAATTTTTTAATAGATAAATTGTTTAAAATTTAGATTCAAAAGGTTGTAAATTTCGAGAAATTACAAGATTATGAAGAAGCATTTAATGGTTCATATGAGTAAGTTACACAAACCATATAGAGATTAAGCTATAAAAATAAATTCGTTAACCATTCTTTAACGTTCTGTACTTTGACTCCCCCTTACAGTACCATATTTTGTACGTTAGAATCAGAATCCACGGAAAATTACGCAAAAGAACATATAATAAACGCAGCCAAATTAATCAAACAACGAAATCCTAAGGAATTACACTTTCTTTATAGTTCCTCGGCCGGAGCAAATGTAAATTCATCATTTTTATATATGAAAACGAAAGGTGAAATTGAAAAGGAATTATGCGACATTGGTTTTAACCAAATTAGCATATTTCGTCCAATCCTTTTTAAAACTGATAAAATCAGAGATAAAGCTGGACTCGTTGAATACCTTTTCTTTAATTTGACCCATTTAATTGATCATGTCTTTCCAAAGTGGGCCAGTGTACACATTGATATTATCAGTAGAGGTACGTTGTAGGAGATTTTTCGTTTATTTCCTCTTATTTTTTTAAAGTTGGCTTATTTTCGTTATTTTCTTGAAAACAATCCGTTTTATTTAGCAATGAGAAGGGTTGCTATTGAAGACTATGAAATTGATGTTGATACTACTATCTTGGATCATGGAACTCTTCTAAAAGAAATTAATCACTTGCAAATTCATGAAATTGGAGATGCCGAATAATAAATTTGTATTAAATGGGTTTTCTTTAAAATATTTTAATAAAATAACTTTTGTATTAAGAATAAAAATTTTCTCTTGCTAATAAACCGTATAGCAATTTTTTTGCATATATTACAATTGGTTTGACGATGAAATGTTATTTGTCATCAAAAGTTGCGAATATTACACACGTTTTTTATTTCCTGTTTAAATGAGCCCTTCATTGTTAAAAAAAGGTAGATTTGGGAAATTTTATTATTTTTGTGCATCATGACTAATAAAGTGAGAAATAATATGATACGATATGTTCATCATTGATAAATTAATTAAAAAAACGCCCAATTTTTTCGTCATGAAATTCTTTCCTAATAGGTCAAAGTAAATAATCATTCCACTAAATTGTTGATGATATGAAAAAAAACGCCAGATATTGTGTGAGAAATTTTTTAGGAATTCTGTAATCACAAGACTATGTATTAGAAGATAACGCCAAATTTCTTTACAGGTCTCTCTCAAGTATAAAAAGGGTGTCTGAATATTTTCATTTTTAACTTTTTTATAAATCAAAAAATAAATTATTTTAAAAATGTCGACACATCAACGTTCTAAATCCGAACTTATTTCTAACGATCCATTTTATGCTATTGAACAAAACGCTCCTGAAATTTTTGAATCTGGTAGGTTTTTAAATATATATGCTGTATATATTTTTAATAATACGAAATAATTTCTTATCTTTGGTATAAAATTTTATTTTTTTTCATTTCATTTTAGCTCCAAAACCGAGACGTCGTATGAGTGAGCTTATTCCAAATGATCCTCTGAGAGAAATTGAGATTCATGCTCCAGAGATTTTCGAGCCTAGACTTCGAAAACGACGTATGAGCGAATTAATTCCTAATGATCCTATGAGAAATATTGAAATTTACGCTCCAGAAATTTTTGGCGTATTACAAATGAAAAATGGTGCAAGAGGTGAATTAATTCCAAACGATCCACTTAGGAGCATTGAATTGCACGCTCCGGAAATATTTCATTAAGCATATGGAAGAGATGAGATTTTTTTTGGTTTAAATTTGTAAATTTTTTATTTTTGTAAATACAATATTTTCTTGTATTATCTTATTAGGCATTGCTTCTTTTGTAAAAGTGTATAAACTCTGTTTTTTTTTTTTTTGTCATTTTTAGCTAGTTTTAATTTAACATTCTTTCACTTCTTTTTAATAAAATTTTTATAAATTTAATATTCTTTTGCTGTGCAAAAAAAACCTTTCGTTAAAATTGGCAACACCGGTTCATTAATTAACGTTACACAAATCCACAAAAAATTGATTTGTGTAACTTGGATCTGTTTTTCAACGATCATATAAGTTTATTTTTCTTAAAAATGTTATTACTGCAAATTTAAATTTTCTTGTGCCATCATTTGTAAAAAGACTATTTTTTTCATTTTTGCTTTTACAACTTTGGATTACGCGATGATTCCGTTGCCACTAAACTTATTATATTGTTTTTATTAATCCATCTTCATCAGAAGACATTTCTTCTTGGCATCTTTTCCTTGAAATAGAAATTCCTATCTTAAAATGGATTTGTTGCAATTTTCAACTTTGAAAAGAAACGCACCAAAGTTTTTCCACTCGCTCATGATTGGTCAAAAGACTTGTTCCATGTTGCGATTATCCACGATAATCACGAGGTCACCGTATTCAGTGAATAATGTCTTTGGTCCATATATTGTTAAGTTAACCCTGGGTTTTTGGACTTTGGTCAACGCCATACATGATCTTTACACATTTATGTCATGACACCAATTTTTAATTTTTAAATCTGTCCGTATATATTGTACAAGGATTCTCGGTACCCAAGTTGCAAGTTGCTGAAGCTTAACATTCTCATTAAAGATATTTACAGAGCAACAATTCCAAGAAATATTTTAAGATAGGTAAAATCAATGTGTACTTATCAAGTAGTAATTTTATTGCTGCTTTGGCTTAATGAAATTATCTCGAATTCAAATAACTTTGAATCTAATTGAATTTTAAATTCAGGTCTAAAAATTAAACGGAATGGGAGTTTGATTATTTTGATTTACCAAAACTTGCAAAATAATTTTCAATGCTTGAATGCTTAACGTGAGTTCCCTTATAGCTTTATTATTATCCAACATAGTCATCATAAAGTACTCTTGTTCCAATGCCTGCAATCTTTCACGTTCGAAATCTTGAAAAGATTACTCGCTTCGGGATAATTTCGAGCATTTAAATTTGATTTTGTCATAATAGTCTTCAAACTGAGGTTTCATTTTCTCCCATGCTTTATTACTATAACGTAAATGAATAGGAGCGTGACAACTTTGTATATATGGGTACGTGACTGACCGATCTCCCATGTACCATAATTAAGTGACACTGAATGAAAACCAGATTTTGCCAAACCGAGGTCTCTTTGATCCAAGTCTCGTTGTCAAAATGGTTAAAATTTCTATCTTTGTCATCGTTAGGACGTGGTATCATTAATAATCCCCGAATCGGTTCCCGTCGAAATAATATAACATATTCATATTACGAACCAGAAACTTTCTACCATGGCTTGAAGTCACAAAAGTTTGTAAAAATACTTACTACAATGTTTATCGTAGCAATTTTTACCGAATTTACATGGATGAAACGCCATTTATTTTTTAAGTTTGTCGTGCACTACTACATAAGATCCTCAAAAGGTACTTGTAATCTAGTGTCCGTGAAGAACTTTTGAAGCATTAGCAAGTTCTTCCGGTACAAGTTTTGTTGTAGAAGTGAAGTATGGCGCTTCTAAAGTTTTTGGACTTTCTAGTTTTAAAGACATTTTAAATTGATATTTTCAAATTTAAATACTAAGAAATAGCAAATTTTTTTTACGTTGTATTTTATTTCTTAAAAGAAGAAAAAGTCCAAGTTTCTCGCATCGCCATAAAAAATGTCACTACCACGTGATTATATATAGAAAATATTTATCTTCCCAATCAAAAAAAGCTTGGACACGTGATTTGGTTCATGGCACGGTTGTGCAACTCCGAGCAAGTTCAATAACAGATAATAAGTAATTGAAATTTTTTTTTGCATGACGTACAGTTAAATTATTTACAAATTATGTTACACCAACACCGTATTCAAGTAAGAAAAAAAAAGAGGCTTATACAACAATATATGAAAATAATTAGGAATGTTAAGCGATCCTAAACGTCCCAATAAATTTGCCATTTCTAGAGAAGATTTTTATTGTTGAAATTTAGGACTTAACGATCTGATGAGGGTTGTTGAAAAATTTATCCTTATAACAATTTTTTAACAAGAATTACTTATTAATAGATAAGCGATTAGACTTTTCTATAACTAAATTTGTTCAAAAACATTTGGGACCGTTAACATCATAATAAAATAATTTTTATTGATATTTATAATTTAATCTTGGTCCTTCATTATTCCATTTCTCAATTTCTATCTTCGTTTCCTGGGCGATTTCCTAGGTACTTCTCCACCAATAATACCAAGATATTAAAGCAATATAAAGAGTTCCGTAACTAATAAGTAATGGTGACATTTGTTGAACTCTTTGTGTTGTCAAATATTGACTACATTCAATTGATTCAGGTGCTATAGATTCTGGGCATTTAACGTTGATAACAAAGGAAAATACCAAAATATATAATCCTGACAAAATAAAAATTACTGTTATAAATAATGGAACTTCAAATAGTTGATTTTCATTTCCGTCGCTATTAATTGAATTAATTTCTTGATCATGTTCATGTACATTGTCCCTTAATTCTCTATGTTCTCTATGTCGAATTACAAATAACCCTATACCAGTAGCAACATAAAAGATCCAATAACTATACATTGCAAATGATGAAAATAATTCATAATTGCTTATTGTAAAAGAACTACCGACGATCAATATAATAAATGAATTCCAAATGAATTGCAATATTAAAGCGTTAATTGGAGTATGAAAATATTCATGCCAAATTTTTAATTGTTCTGAATAAATGGGAAAAAAATTTGATCTTGCCGTTGTAACGATTACCCTTGATACACTATTAAGTAAAATAAAAAATTATTACAATATTTTAATTGCTAAAAATTAAGTACAACTAATTACTTACCTCCACACATTTGATGCAGCAGTGCCAATCACAGAAAGTACGATTAGAAAAGTAAAAATTCTAACTATTGTCTCATTTCCACCAAATACTTTATTAAAGAAAGTTGCGGCTATAATTTGATCCGCTTTTCCATTATTAAGTATATCTTCTTTAGGTACAACAGAAATAAACGCAATATTTACAAGAAGATCTATAATTGAAAAAGGTTTTTAGAATAATAACATGAGGATTAAGACCTTTCCAACCTAATATACGTACACAATAATGTAACAATGACAACACTGATACTATTGCTGTAGAGAAGTTCCCTTTCCACATTCCTAAACTCGTTCAACGAGTCTACAAAAAAAACATTTAACTTGTTACTAGGTAATTATTAATAAATAATGATTAATTTCAATGACTTACAATTTAAACTGTTCCATCCTTCATAGCTAAACATAATCTAAAAATGAACAAAAACATCTCATTATGTATTATAATTACTTCAAAAATGAATGTATATTTACCAGTAAAATTGAAGATGTATAAGCTGTGAAGTCTGTATTTCCTTCTAATGGCTTTTGCCAGTGGAGTCGACTTGTTTCCCAATCCAAAAATAATCTACAAATTCCGACTATGGCTATGATTGAATATGTGATTAATTTTATAACCCCCAGTGACTGGTTTATAACATTAGCCAGTCTGTTACCAATCATATGATATGCTGTTATAACAAACAACATTGCAATCGCGATGAATTTTATAACCCTAAAGTAGATAAAATTTTAGTTGCAAACTGACGTTCAATTAGCTAAAATATAATTGTTCATACCAGAACGGAGAAAATGGAAGATTCCATCCATTTTTATCCTGTTCAATATTAAAATGAGCTCCACTAATAGTATACCAAAGATACTGCGCCGCAGATTGCAAAATCGCACTTGTAATTCCTGGCTTAATCGCACTTAATAAATTAGAATAAAAATAAAGAACAGATTATTATTACCAATAAACGAATTATAATCTGATGACTTTAATTTTAATATTAAACTTACAAAATGTACATGAAACTAAAAAGGTAGCTTATACATTTTCTTGGATGTGGGTAAGCGGTCTGTAAATATTTTGTTTCGCCTCCACTTATCCTATGTTTAACGCCAAGCTCAACATATGTTAAGGACCCCGCCATACTAACGAGTCCACCTATTAACCATAATAATAATACGATTCCTGGAGACTTTACTGAATTCCAAATAATTCCTGGTGCAGTGACAATTGCCGATCCAATTATGCTGTTAACGTTAATGCCAATGCCATAGGCAAGATTTATAATCCTTATTTCGGGAAAATTTGTTTCTTGATCGTACATGTTCATTTTAATTTTTGGAGATTTATAATAAATACTAGAACTTTTTTATGTTTTTTTTTTTTTATTGAAAGACATTCATTCGGGTTTTTTAAAAATAATTCCATCATTTATATTTAATAGTAAATCAAAGATGCAAATTTGGAATCATTTGACATTCAAAGTCTTTTATTTGCACGTTTTTGGAAAAAAATTTTATATTTTAATTTCCAACTTAAAAAAAAAAAAACTGAGCTTACAGACAGTGCTCATTTTTAATGTCCGCTGATTATCGAAACAGGATTTTTTGAGGAATTAGCACTTGTTTTCTCGTGTCACCTGTCCCAGACATTGTCCGTGGCAACACTGCGTACAGACGAATTTTCTGTACATGGATTACTTTGACCAACTCTATTTAAGTATCCGATCTTCATGCTTAAAAAAAAATTTTATAATGCAATGCATACAACTGCACGCGTCCTAAAAGATCATGATTTAAATTCTTTGATAAAATATAAAAGAAGTTTTCATTTGCAAACTAGGACTGATTTTTGTGTAATGAATCTTTTAATATGAAATTGCTTTAAAGGTTTCAATTTGAATACAGTTCCAGTTGGAAATTAATAGATGGAGTATGTTTGATTATCATATTTTAAATAAAGGTCTTTAATTGTATAAATCACTAAAGTGTAGCGGTTTTGATGTGAAAATTGATTTTTATTAGTGATAAAGCAATTTGATTTCTGATCTAATATGTATATTTATAATACTAGTTGGACCAATAAATAATTTAATGAATCAAGTTATTTTAAAATCTATTTCAATATAATACTTATTTTATTGGACGTTACATTCAGATTTAGAATTGTTTAAATTATACTTTTGAATTTCATTAATTAATACTTAGAATATAGATCAATATTTATAACAAATTTAATAGCAAATGATTTATATAATTTAATTGAAATATACTTTTAAATACAAATAATAAACCATTTTGTTAATCTATATTTTTTTATTTTATTTTATTAATAAAATAAAATATATTTTATAATATATGTTGTTCGTCAGATGTCGATTTGCGTCCAATGGACAGTTGACATGCGGATGACTAATGCTGGCCAAACCTTTTTAAGGCATTATAAGATCAAAATAGACCCATATATACAGTATATCTAAAATTAATTATAAAAATTGTTAAAGAAATTAGATTTTAGAAATTTTAATAAAATTAAAAAATCTTTTTTATATTTTAACTTTTGATATATTTAAAATCAATTATAATAAGATTTTGATTAAAATCAAAAGATTTTTATAATTTGATTTTCTAACAATTATTTTATATTTATAAATATCTATATGTAATTTAAACTATTTTATAAATATTAAAATCAAAAAATATATAATTATTACTTTTGTTTTTAACACATTATTATTATTAATATATTAGAACAATCTATAATATAATGCATATAATATAATTTTAATAATAAAATTAAGAAAATTTAAATTATTACTTCTTACTTAAAAAAAAAATAATAATCATAAAATATACAGTCAGACCCCTATACAGTCACACCCTATATAGTCACACTTTTGTATAAGAACCTATTTTTCTGAAACGAACTTTAAACTTATTAATTTACCTTTATATAGTCACAAATTAGTTATAGTCACTATCATCACATGATCTAAAACTATATACCATTTTTAATAGTAATTAAACCTCTTTATAATCACAGATTTTTGATTGGCTTATATTGAAAATATCTAATTAGCTGGCAGTTCACGATAAATAATATGTAACATGAAAATGTAACACTTTCACTTAAAAATGTAACACTAGGAAAATAGAACAACATAACGCTTTATTCTTTGATAATTTTAATGAAAGTTTCGCATTCTTCTCATGGTATTACTTTTTATTATTATGTATAAATTTTATGCGATAAAATTTACATACAATGTGTGTGCAATTTTTTTTTTTTCTTAAACACCCCTTTTTTAAAATAATTTCCAACTTTTCATTTAGCTTGTTTTATTAAACGAGTTTATAAATGCCTCTTAACTGACCCAAACAACTTTCTGACCAACCTAAGAAACGTTCTGCTATAAGTGTCAGTCTTAAACATAAAATTTGTGAATAGGCAAAAAAAAAATAGTAATAAAAGATATCATGAAATTGCAAAACATTTTAATGAAAAAAACCTGACTTTAAATATTGACCGTAGTACTATAACAAAGATATTAACAAATAGTGAAAATTGGAGTGTTGCAATAGAAATCGAAAGTTCTAAAGAAATCTTTAGACATAGAGGAGTCAAATTTCTAATACTTGACAATGCTATGAATTTGTAAGTTGAAAATATAACGGCGGGTGGTGTTATTTAACAGATCTATTGATAAAGAAAAAGATAAATTTTTTGCCAATATATTTAATATACAAGAAGATGAGTTAGTTTTTTTCAACAGTTGGTTAAATAGATTTAAAAAAGGAATAATATTCATTAGCATTGCATGCATGGAGAATTGGAAAGTGCGCTGATAGCATCTCTTTTAAAAGAAAGAATTAAGCTCCATCAACTATTAAGCTAATATTCTCTAGACCAAATATATAATATTAATGAAACGGGTCTTTATTACAAAATGTCTCTGAATCAGACACTTTTCACTAAACTGATTCTTAATCAAAAAAAAGGATAAAATGCAAATTACTATTCTTTTAAGTGCAAATACTACGGGAACTGACAAACTCAAACCATGGGTGATTGGTAAATCAAAGTGCTCAAGACCTCTTTTACGTATTAATTTAGACTGTCTTCTAGTTCACTACTGTAGAAATTTTAAGGCATAGATAAATTCAAGGTTATTTAGAGAAATACTTCTTGATATGGATAGGCATTTTAGAGCACAAAATAAAAAGATTTTACTCTTAATTGATAATGCCCCATCATATTTCAATCCAAATTACCGTTTGCAAGATGATGATAATATTTCAGGCTCAGGTTCTACTTCAGGTTTAGGTTCTACTCCAGATTTGGATTTCTATTTCGGGCTTTACTTTGGGTTCTACTTCAAGAGGACACAGTAAGTTAAATTTGATTTTTTTTAAAAAATTTAAAAATAAACTACAGAAATTTACCAAATTAATACTTCTATAGGAAATCGAGTTTCAAGATCAAGGAGTACTCTACCGAATACTCATTAACTTCAACTTACACATATTAAAGTAGCCTTTTTGCCACTAAATACTACAAGCCACCTTTAACCTTTAGATGCTGGAATTATTGCAAGTTTTAAAAGTCACTATAAATGATATTATTGTCATTATATGTTGCAACTTTTTGAAGAAGGTAAAGATATCAATAAAGAGAAAATTGATATCAAAGAAGCTATTGAGTACTTGGCAAATACGTGGCATGATGTAACTGAAGAAACAATTCGTAATTATTGGAATAAAACCAGAATATTGCCTTCTTCAGCTAATGAAGATATAGATAATGCAATACGAGCTCATTAAGAAACAATGGACTTGGAAACAGAAAGAATCAATCAAATGATTGATGAATTCGATAACCCTCATGCTTCTCTATTAAAAAATGCAATTGATGATTTCTTTCAAGATTTAGAAGAAGAAATTCCAACTAAGGATTTCTTAAATGATGATGAGATCATAAGATTGGTTCAAGGGAAGGTAGATGATGATGAAAATAATGATTCTGAAGAGGATTTCAATGAATCGGTACCAGTATCTTTCGTTGATGCAATTAAATCTTTACAGAATTAGATAACTTTTTTGAACAACAAACAACAAATAAATTTAAAATAGAAGATTTAATATTTTTAAAAAATATCTAAATATAGTACGATAACTTAAATTGCAAGCTAGAAAGCAAATTTTAATAACTGATTTTTTTAGCAATTAGATATTAGAAAAATGGATAATTGTATAAATTTTTCAAATTCTTAATAAAATCAAATTTTATATGCTTTATTTTAATATGTTATACTATCTAATTAAACTATTAATCTCTATATAGTCACTTTACATGATTTATAATATAGAAGTAATTGTATAAAGGTTTTATTATATAGTCACACCTCTATACAATTACTAAATTTAATGAAACCAATTCGGTGATTATATAAGGGTCTGACTGTAATCTTAAAGTAATAGAATAAAATAAGTTTATTAAAATTATGTTTTCAAATTTTCTGTAAAACTATTTTTTAATGAGTAATAACATTTTAAAGTTAAAGAATTTTACTATTATCAGATTTTTTTTAACTATTCTACATATGATACATGTTATCAATTTCTTATTTTAATTAGCTGATTAATATTAATCATTTATATTTATTATATAATTTACTTAATAAAAAATAAATTATATTTTTTTCTATTTATTACAAAAGTAATAAAGAAGTTGAATAATATACAATACATAATACTGATTTTTAATAATTAAAAAATTTATTTTTAAAAATTAAAATATAAAAGTTTTTAATATTAATATTTAATATTTATTATTATACTAATTTTTTCTCTTTATATTTACATACAAAATATATTAAACCTAATTTTTAATTATTAATTAATTATAAAACTAACTTAAAAATTTAATGATATAAATAGTATTTTTAATAACAAATTTTGCTGCTTTACTTATTAAGTTTTTCTAATATACAGGAAGGTAACAAAAGTATTGCATAGTCAAGAATTAGACAATTTTGTAAATTTTTAATAGTAACTAAGCTATATTTTTTTAAATAACATATTAGCTGATTATTACCTAATGAAATATTTTGTTCATTATTTGGTTTAGAGTAATGCATAACCCTAATCCTTGTGTAGAAAAATATCCTCAGAACATCTGACTTGGACTGTGCTTTATTATTGCTGAAATACAAGCAGATAACTATTCCTCAGATAATTCTCACTAAACTCAGCTAGTACGTGATTATTGAAACTGAGAAAAAATTAATTTATCAGTCTAAAAAACTTTTTTCAGGCTTGCATAGTCCAGTATACATACTCTTATATCTATGCGAATTGTTTCATTATATTTTCAGATAAATTGAATAGTTTTCACCTAGCTGCATAATTATTTAATCCAATAATATGAAGTATTTATTAAATAGTAGGAGTAAAAGCATTCTACCTTGACTTTTTTTCAAAGAGCTTGCACTTTACAGGTATATTTGCAGCAATTATTTTCTTTGTAACTAATTATTTAAATTATTTACGATTTGGAGTTATGAAAAAGTGCAGTCACTTAGAATATGGCTTTGTATTAGTAGACCCAGTAGCTTTATACCTTCTTATATAAGCTGAAACTGCAAAAGGTTTATATCTTACAGTTTCTGCAATTTTTCTGCATGAATATCCAAGTTGATATCTATAAAGAATAGCACTTTTTTAGGATTCAGTAAG